TCCCACCTACTTCCTGCCTGGCCACTTGCCAACCAGTGTTTTATTTATATATAGAGCAATATCCACAGCACTCTCTCTTTGCAAAATGTATTGTTGTGGGTCTATGTATTTGTTCCCATCTGTGGCAGGCAGGAGTCCTTTTTGATAATGGCTGAAAAAGGCACAGATATATAAGTATAGCAGAATACCATTAGGAGGAATTTTATTGCTGCATATTTTTAGCCAGTAATATATTTGGTTTTAACCTAAATCTCTGGGCTGTCAAGCTCAGGGAACCTCAAGGAAGAGAAGGCAGAAGGAGTAGAGGAGACAGTAGATACTAAGAGAAAAAGACGCTCTCAAACAACTGAGCAAAACTCACATGAATTCACAGAGAATAAGGCAGCAAGCACAGGATGTACATGGGTCTGCACCAGGTCCTCTGCATACATAGTATAGCTTTCAGTTTAGTACTTTTATGGGACTCCTGAATGTGTAAATGAGTGGGTCTTTGATTCTTGTGCCTTCTTTGGGGCCTCTTTTATTTTTCTGTTGGCTTGGCTTGCCCAGTTTCGACATGAAGGTTTTGTTTTATCTTATATTTTATTTTGTTATGTTTCGGTGTTATCCCCTAGAAGCCTATTCTTTTCTAATGAGAGACAGACAGGATCTGGATGGGAGAGGAGGTGGGGGGAGCAACTGGGAAGGAGGGAGGGGAAACTGTATTCAGATTAAGAAATAAAAAATATAATAGTAAAAATTCAGATTAAAAAAAAGAAAATGCGATTCCTGTGTTTCAACATATTTTTCAATATGTTGGCACTTTTTGATTCATTCTGTTGTTTTTCTCCTCTGACATGGACAGGATTCCCCTGAAAAAGTGATTAAAACACATTGTGCACATGTTTAAAATAGATACTAAACAATATATATTTTAAAATGATGAAGAAGCTGCATAACATAGGAAATCATTTTTTCCCTTCGCATACTTCCTCATTTTGGTATAGAAAAAGACACAATTGAACACCACTGACACTGCTTTTCAAGTCATTCATCCTAAGATACAATTTCAAGTTCTCATTCAGTACATGGAAGCTACACAAAACTCCAAAGGTTCTCTCTCCCTCCCTCCCTCCTTCCCTTGCTCCCTCCTCTTTCTTGCTTCTTGTCTTTCAGGCAGGCTGTCACTATAGAACCGAGTCTGAGCCATCTCTTGAGAATCCACACTGAAAGCACCAACCACACATGTGCTGTGCAAATAGCAAAAGTCCATGCACTGATTCACCATCATTATGTTATCAGAGTCGGCATTAGTCCTGACATTTACCAGTCATGTGACCTTGAGAAAACCTTGACTGAAGTTTCTGTCCATCAGGCTCCTCATCTGTACAATGGGAAAAATAATTGTGTATATGTGTCAGAGGGTGATGGATGGGTATATGTGAAGGTATATATTATGTACTTAACACAGTGATCAAAACAAGGGAACACCTACACACTACACACAGAAAATGCTAACATTGTTGCTAAATTTTTATTTACTCTTTTAAAAAGAGGAAACTAGGTCTCAAAAATTGAAGTAATGCAAACAAAGACTAGACAGCTAACAAATGATGAATCACAGATTGGTTTGAATTCAATATATTCTTTTTTGCTTTAGTTTACATTACCAAGAAATTATAATTTTAGCAACATCTACTATAATACTTATGAAAAATGAGATCAAGACTTGTGAAAGAAATAGCTTTTTTCCTAATGTGACTTTTTTCTGCAAGACTTTATTTACCACATTTCTATATACAAATACAAAATATACCAAATAAGAGATTGCAAGAAGTAACAACCCTGGTCAAAATAAGTGTGATTTTATTATTCCAAGATCTCCTTAATTTCTCCTTTCTTCAGGAAGAACAAAGGCAATAGAAAGGGTATGAAAAACAACAACAACAACAACAACTGATCATCAAGTGTTGACTATGCTTCCTGCCCAGCACTGTGCACCATACACACACGTAACCCTTCCATACACCAGAAGGATTTTACAAAAACACCTCTAAGCATATATACTATGATTTCATTATCCATTCGTCAGTTGATGAACATCTAGGCTGACTGTGTTTCTCAGCTTTTGCGAAAGGGCAGCAATTAACATGCATGGCCAGGTATCTCTGTAATGAAACTCAGTCCTCATCAGATAACCTTATTTTTGCTCCACGGTTGGTCGGAGTGCAGAGACTGAGTAACTGCTGAGTGGTCAGCCCTGAATGAGCCAGCTGTATCATATAACCCTCCTCACGTGGCTCGTGGAATCCTATGAAGAAAGGGGGAAGAAAGGTTGTGTGAAGCCGAGGTTGGGGAATACTGCTGTGAGACCAGAACTGTGCACTCTAAACTCACAGTGGCTGTGGCTGACTGCACAGATCCTGTGCAGGAGCTAAGCAGGTGTAATTCCAGCGTAGATGGGGTAGTTCTCCTGAAGTCTTTTAGTTGATTAACGTTGCCAGTTGAAGGCTGCTTGGGAGAGGGAGTGAGTGTTCTTCAGGGAAGTACCCCCTGCTCTAGTGGATGGTCCTAAACCTATGCATATATGGGCAGCACTGAATAAACTCAGAGCTATTAAAAGAGGATGGGAAGCTTGGAAGGATGTGGTAGAAGTGTTCTGAGAGGACACTGAGGGGAAGATGGAGTAGTTATAATCAATATGCATTGTACAGTTGTCTGAAATTCTAAAAGAACAAATCCTACAAAATAAACTCCGAGGGTTTAAAAATCAAAGCCTCAGCATGTCAATAGCATTCCTGGACTGATAATGACTTTTGTTTCAGTAAATACTTCAGTTTAAAGAATTCCTTAAAAAAAAAAAAAAAAAAAGTCCTTTCTTGATCAAAATTTTGAAAAGATACTGCATACTAGGTCATATCATTTATCCTTCTTTGAAGTTTTACCATGCATCTATATCACTGTAAAGGCAGTAGTATTTTGTTTTTCAAGCTCACTGCTGGGTCTTTGGTGTGTAGCCTGGTGCCTGAATGGGTGAATTTATTTTTGAATTTAGTAAAGAATGAATGAAGCCAAGAGATTTCTAAGGGTTGTATCCAAGTACTCACAGCTGGCTTGTTGTAGAACTGAAATTTCCACTGCATGTTTGAGTGCCAGCACTGTTGGATACACATTGTGCCAACTGTTTCACCTTGCCTACAACAGTTAATGCCATTGTGATCATGGAGAGAGGCACAGGGGCATGGGAAATGGTGGAACCTTATGGAATACATTTTTTTCTTCCTCTTTCTCCTATCTTCTTCCTCTTCCTTTTCTTCATCTTCTTCCCCCTTTTCTCCTCCTCCTCCTTCTTTCTCTTCAAGGCGTTTAACCTATAACATTAAGATATAAACAAAAGATATAAAAGATTGTGCCAGCCAGAAGGATCGTCAGTAGAATCGGTAAGTTAAGCACCCATGTGCTAAGCAAAAACACAGGTTATTCTGGAAATAGAAAAGCAATGTAAGCATGGTGAAAAATCAGGGATTGATGAAGAAAGGACTGAAGTAAGTATAGGGTAGTAGGCAAACCAGGCCTTGCAAGGGAATTCAGATTTTATTTTAAGTGCAGTAAGAAGTCTCTGGGGGATTTAAACAGAAGAATAACATTATTTGATCTGGGCTTCTGAAAGGTCACCCTGGCTAAAAGTAAGAAGTAGAAATGGCAAATATATGTACCATGACTATATATGTGCACATGCAAACTTAAATCCTACACATTGACCTTGGAAGGGTATAAAGAATTGGAAAAGAACACTGTATGTGTCTGGGCATGTGCTAACTCCCCAAATCTCTGGATGTCTGCTAATATTCTCTCTTGTTACTGTTTTGATCCTGCTTTCTGAAGTAGCAAGAATGACCCCAGAGAGAAAAGAACCTTGCCTAGATGTGGCAACCACGATGTGTGGGGAATTCTAAACTAGATATAATTTCATATTGAAAACAGCTGGTGCATGATGTCAATCATAATTCCCTTTAAGATGCAGCTTAACCTGAATACCCTATAGCTATTAACTGTGCTTTTAATTTTTTACACGAACTCATGAATCCTCCATAGAAAATTCTTGAGCTTTCTGTTTTATTTTTATTTTGTAGTATAGAATTCAAGATCTTGAAGGGACTTTATCAGTAATCCTCACTTTTATATTTTTTTCTCTCTGGTTTTCCTTCCTTATTTGCTCATACAGAAATACATACATGCACACAGTGCTGAAGCAGTAGTTTTAGTATTTATCACATATTCATCACATTATATTAATTTCCTCAAGATTTTAGAACATTTGAGATATATTTTTTTAATTAGTATGATGAACTTCAATTTTAGTGGTCTTCATTTTCCTTCCAAATATATTTTGACACTTTCTGAAATGGATGGATTAATGTTCTATAACTTCTTTTGTGCCTAATTCATATGTTAATATATGTATATATTATACAATTCATATATATGTGCATCTATTTGTTGAACTGTATGTGTTAGTTCCTTATTACTTCCAAAGTGTGTTTCATAGATGGAATCATTTTAATTTGTGTTTTATTTCTTATGGATAGTAGCATTGTTTCAAAATGGATTATCCTCTTGACAAATATATTCTAGGTTAAATTCTGCCATTCAAAAATCTATATATCTTAATTAAGTGATAGAGGTTTGAAAAGTTCATAGAGTATCACATAGACAATTGGTTAAATTGTAAGTACTACAAGGAGTTGTTTTGCCGATTTGATATATGATTATGTGGTATATGTGTGTATTGTATATGCATGCATGAATGTGCAGATGTGTGTGTCCCTGTGTGTGTGCAGAATCCACAAAAGGATGTTAGGTGTCCCATTTTATTGTTCCCCATCTGATTCCTTTGAGTCACAAACTCTCACTGAACTTGAGGCTAGGCTGGAGGTCAGAAATCTCTAGCAATCCTCCAGCCTATGGATCTCACAGCAATAAAGTGATAAGTGCATAGCCATGCCCAGGCTTTTATTAATACATGGATGCTGACGATTTAAACTCAGGCCATTCTGCTTGTTCAGTGAATATTCTTATCTGGTGATATGTCTCCTCAACCTAATTATAAGGGATTTTAGTATTTTTCAATGTCACTTTGGAATTTTATACTTCTAACATACAAAACTTCAAGTGAAGGATAGATAAAGGGCAACAAGTGTTTATTTTTATAAAGAATAGACTCCAAGAAGGAATGTGTTAACATATTGTAGATCCTAACTTCCTTATTGCTTGGATTTAAAGACTTTAGAACGATGTTTTTTCCGTGGGTCTGTAGCCTGATTTATAAGGGTTTCACTCAGAATGCTGCTGACATTTGAAATTCAAGAAACTCTGAACTAGAAGGAAGGACAAGAATATAGTATTTATGACTTGATAGAGCGCTACACTGTAAAAACGCTGTAGGCTCTGAAAAAAAAAAAGAGACTGAGCTTATGAAGGCACTCAGAGAAGATTATTTTTTTTTAATCTCACTTCATAATCCTCATGATATAAAATACCTCCAAACTCAACTTCTCAAGAATTAGAAAATATTCTCCATTAAAAGTTTCAGTGAATGTTGTTATTATTCTTTTGGGGATGACTATCCACTTCAGGTTTCTTTGTCTCTGTGAGACCACTGGAAACAAAGAAAATAGTATTTTTGTGAGTTAATTGTATCAGAATAAAAGAAGCCAAGTCCTTAACATTCAACACAGTGATGTGGGTTCCACTAGAGGATGGGTGTTTGTAGGCAGAGTCATTATCTGCATTCTCCTTCTCTGTTGAATGCTGCACCTTAAGAGGAGGGAGTACACCTGGTAAAGTGTCTGCAAATGTGAAAGCAGCGAAGGCTATCCCAAATATCCAACTTAAATGGAAATGGAAATGTGTATATCCTTTCAACATCATGCTATCTTCATTGACAAAAAACACATATATTTAATATTCCGTTTTTTTGAAATGACAGTTTATATGTGTCATATGTATTTCCTCCCATTGTTAATGTTTGGCACCTTCATTTTCTTACCTAATCAGACACTCTATATACAAATATATATCCATCATATTTTATCTTTCCATGGCATTTCCAAGAACAATATGTAGTTACAGGCTCACCATCACAAGTACTAGAGCATTGAGTTGGTGGGATGTGCAATGTTTGCCTAACATGCATGAAGCTCTGGGTACAGTCCCCAGCACTGAATAATAACAACAGCAAAACCAGGTTACTATTTGTGTTTTTCAAATGTATGTTTTGAACAACTATATTATAATTTTCCAAATCAGGAAAAAAATAATGCAGTACTGCCATCCAAACCTGTCTCTATTTAAATTTTGCTAACTGCCTGATCCCTCATCTTCAGGAGGAGACAGCTGTGTGTTAATTTTCCTGCTTGGAAGTGTAACATTAATGCCCAAGATACTGCCATATCTTCCACATCAATCACTCTTTTCTCATTTGTTTGTTGTCTTAGAATCACTCAGTTCAATTGTTTAGTGTATTAGAAGGAATATTTTCATGATTATGTAACCTGCTTGTTTCTCATGAAATCCTCAGAAAATGACTGTTCACCCACTATTACATTTGCCTTAATTAACCATACCAATTCTTTTCTTTCCATAGTTTTTTTTTTAAATTCACTGCCAATCTATTTTAAGAAAGAACTTTATCTCTTATTTATTTATCTGTCTGTACCATAAACCCTACAATTTATAATAGAAGTCATAATTCTATTCTCATACTCATCAGAGTTATATAAAATTATAAGCTTCCATGTCATTCAGGTAAGGTTATTGAATTGTTATAATTTTGTTAAATCCTGCTCCCCTAAGCAGTTATCATGTGCTTTTGACATGTCCTCAACAAGACTTGAACAACACTTTAGTGTTGGGCACAATGTGATGCACAAGGCTTGTATCATAATTTCTCTCTAGTGTCCCATGTATCAAGTCTCAAAAAGGCTCCAGTCTTTTTAGCTAACAAGATTAGAGTGTTTGTAATACCCCTATGTGAATTTCATTGCTTCAAGACTCTTTCAATATGAAGAGTTTTCAATTGTGTCCAACTTGCTTCATGACTCACTTGTTTTGCTTCAAGTCTTTTAGGTGGCTCAGCTTCATGGATCTCTAACCATCCTGTCATGGCTTCCAACCCTCATCATCACTATTTTCCTTGCCTGCATAATCACAATCTAGCAATCCTTCTCACCACCTCATAAAGCTGAGTTCCTCTATACATAAAACATTTGCCCTGAAAGCATATATAGCAGTAGTTTTGTGTGGATTGAGTAGATTATATTTAGAAATGTGTGCCTGTGTGTGTGTGTGTGTGTGTGTGTGTGTGTGTGTGTGTATTGCATGAAATAACAATTAGTGAAAACAAGATGCCATGAATTTGAAGAAGAGTAGGGAGGGTTATAATAAGGCTTTGGAGGGAGGGAAGGGAAAGGAGAAATGTAATTATATTATAATCACAAAAATAAAAATTTAAATGATGTTCAAAAAGGGTAAATGGATTTTAATAACATTTTGCTCACTGACAACTACTTTGCAAAATATTCATTGAGAATGTTTCTGAGACACATGCTTAGAAGACCAACAAAAAAGAAGGGAAACAACTTAGTTCTTAGTGCTTGAGTTTTAGGTCACACTTTCTAGTTTATGCCAACAAAAGAATTAATTCTGTGGATTGTACCTAAGAGTTTATCTCTCTGTAGTTCTTGCTCCAGAAAAATGTTATATGAGAAGTTATTTTTTATAGAACTCAAGGCATTTGTAACTCCTGATATTAGAATTAAAACTTTAAGAAGCAAATATGAGTTAGTTAAACTCCACCAAGTCTCTTTAAAGAGATTATATAAATTTATACTTTTATAAATTAAATGATAATATGTATTCTTTACAATACAAAGTACTATGTAGGTAGGATGATATACAAACAACAAGGGAGAGGGATGTTATTATGAGATCCCCAACATATTCAGCTCTTCCAATTTCCCTGCATCATGATGTTGACTCTAAAACAACAGAAAGCATTTCTAAATATTATTTCATTTCCCTATACAACTTTATTATTTTTCTGGTCAGATGTCTTCTTCTTCTTCTTCTTCTTCTTCTTCTTCTTCTTCTTCTTCTTCTTCTTCTTCTTCTTCTTCTTCTCCTCCTCCTCCTCCATGTATTACAGCCAGAGCTTAAACTTGCTATGTAGCCAGAATGATTTTGAACCTCTAATTTTGTCCCTCTCCCTCCAGGACACTTGGATTATAAATGTTCACTGCAATGTCTGATTTTATGTATTGTTAGGGACTGATCCTAGGACTTCATGCACGATGATATGCAAGCC